AACCTTCCTGTGCATTTGATGACGGTATTAGGATATCATCCATATAAATTACTACAGTTTTATCTTGTAACAATGGTCTAAACACATGGTAAATATAACGTTGGAATACACTTGGACTATTACACAAGCCAAAAGGAACCTTTAGAAATTCATACTGGCCCTCGTGTGTAACGAAAGAGGTATACTTTCTACATTTCTCATCAATGTCAACATGGAAAAATCCATTTTTTAAATCGAGCGACGTGAACACTTTTGATTGTTCCAAACGATCTATCACATCCTCAATCAAAGGCAAGGGGAAGTGATCTCTGACCGTTTTCCGATTCAACTTTCTAAAGTCCACGCACAGTCTAATTTTGCCATTTTTCTTTTTGCATAAAACTATTGGCGCAGCATAATCTGAACAGCTAGGTTTGATTATGCCACCGTCCAACCATTCTTGGATTTGATCCTCTACTATTTTTTCTTCTTCGAATGACATTCTTCGTGGGCGATGACTAATGGGAATTTTGTCAGTTAAAATAATTTGCATCTTCAATCCGGTATCCTTAACCTTATTTGGCTCATAGGTTGTAATTAGTTCCATCAAATTCTGTCGTTGCTTTCTATCCAGAATGTGACTTAAATCTATCTGACAACAATCTGTCGCATCTGCCAATTGACCTAAAAAGCATGTTTTTTCGTTCTCAACTTCTGAGGGATCAGTTAAATCACACTCCCTGTCGTCGGTGAACGAAACATGGTTAAAACGGTTTAATCTGCCTATATCTGCACTTGATTGCATTTTTTTTTTTTTGCTTTCATTGCAAGGCTTCGAAAATGTATCAGATTTGGAAGTAAACTTTTCTTTTTTATTTCTGCCGAAATCGTTTGTGTCACTAACCACAAGGGGTGGGCGCTCACCAAGTGATTTATTGTCTTGAAAACCGTTTCCCTCTCCCCACTCAGTGGAATGCGAAAGGAACGTCTGCTCTTTTCTAGAGGCGTCATCTGATTTAACGAGTGTTGATTCAGCCACAGACTTTCCATCGGGAACAAAAATTCGAGTATAATTAACACGAATAGTATTTTGACTTCGTTTCCCCATGACTTTGAATCCGTAGATTGTTATAGAGAAGTTCAGTTTATTCAGAAGATCTATTCCTATTATTATAGAATTACACAGATCACCTTCTACCACGTAAATATTTGCAGGAAGAGAGCATTCGTCAATCTTTATTTCACTTTCGAAGAAACCTAACGGAGAAATACTATTCCCATCTAATCCAATTAAAGATGCACCATCTTAGTTTAATTTTGGNTAGAATTGTGTATGAAATAATTGGAAATATTTTAATTCATTCCTCTTAATAAGGAATCATTTTATCTGTATATGAAATTATAATCCTAATTAATTTGCTAGAAATGATTAAAATGGCATATTTACTAATGTAATTATATTTGTAAACTGTAATAAAGTAATAATTATTGTTTGTTGTTTTTTAGAAATGTGACCTTTGGGTAACAGTATCGAAAAATCCTTAATTGTTTCCTGCATTACGGAATTTTATCAATTGCATTACGCAATTCTGTGTATAATTGTACTAGCAGAAAGCCCGGCGTTTCTGGAGGAAAAGTAACGATAGGGAAGATTAAGATTATTACATTACAGGCAATCTTACTTGTTTTCAGAGAATGCAAAATTCGGTCTCCCTGTCTCCAGATTAATTAGAGAATTTTTAGATGGGTCTAAAAATATGTTCGATATCCCGCAAAAATTCAATAAACCGCATCTGCGCCTGTAAATCTTGCACGTTGTTTTCTTTTAACATTTTTATTATTGTCACTTTCATTCTTAACAGTTCCATTGTTAGCATTTCCATTATTACTTAACACTTCCATCGTTGAAGTTTTAATCCTGTTTCTCTCCCCCGTAAAGGAAAGTTCGAAAATTCCTTTTTTCTTGTGCGTTCTCGTGACGTACTCTTACTGTGTACCAAATTTCAACTTTCAACTCCTAACCGTTTGTTATTATTATCAACGCCTCTCGATTATATATATAGACTAGCTGTTACCCGCGACTTCGTTTGCGGAGGTTTTGCAAGCAAACCCCATTTACATTCAATATTTTAATAACTATAGTAATCTATATACAGTGAAAACTGCTTAGGCAACCACCTGCATTCGACGGGCACCTGTCAAAACGGGCAAAAATTTCTGGCACGGAATAGTTTATCCATAGAGTCTTCGTATAAGTTACCTGTATTAAACGACCACCTGTGTAACGCGACCGCGGGCATCGATTTTTGGTCCGAAACAACATACAACACCTGTAATAAGCGACCACTTTCGCCAATGTATCTGGTCTAAACTACGGTAAGAACCCATCTCAACAACGTTTCCACCTCCTAATATAATGAATTAGTCTAAACTCTCGTTCTAACCCATCCCGGACACTTTTACCACCCTCGAAATTAGGTGCAGGTGTTAATAAATTAGTCTAGCAACAAAGAAAATTCATTTCAGTTTGTTGGAAAATGTCCGAAATGCGAAGTGCTGTCGTTAGAAGATCGTATTAAAGTTATCACAACAGCAATTAGCGGCGAAGTTTAACTGTGGGAAAACAAAATTTATTTTACCCTAGACCTACAGTATTTTCCTTGGGGG